ACGGAGTTTGAAAAAGGAAGATTTTAGGGTTTTAGACTTTTTTATTGGATTAAGAGAAGAGCAGTCAAAGATGCTTTGAGATTAGATTTGATTGATTTTTTTTTGTTTCATGGATTATAAATTGAAATTAAAATAGTGGTTACCAAAACGGCAACGCGTTAAATTTGTGCAAATATTTTTTTTCTTTTTGACAAAGACACCGTTTGGATGCTTAAAAAAAAAAAGAAGTTATATATAATTTGGTTTTCATTTTTCTATTTTTTTGTTTTCTAAAATATTGTATTCATTTTTCTAATTTTTTTCCAATATATATACCTTTCTAGAATAGTACAGTATTTGGTTTGTTCGTCCTATTCCTCTTGCTAAAAATCTAATTTTGATTTGCTCAATAATTTAATTACAACTTCATTTAGTAACTAGCATTTTTTTTTTTTCATTTTACTTGATATATCAGCACTTCTCAAATGCGATAGTTTTGTTATCAGCGGATAGTGTTACAAAACATGTTAATGATACTTGAACATAAAATTTGTGAAAACATTTAGAATATCGAAAGTTTTTGAAAAAAATATTCACAAGTTCTCGGAAATAGAGAAAATGTGATCAATATAGAACGTAAGCAATCTTGTTTAAAGAATTGAAACATAAGAAGAAAGACAAAAGTCTCAAATTCATTTTATCCCAAAACAAATCCAATGTGATCAACGTGCTCATAAAATGTTTCGACTTTCGAGCATTATGATTAAAGTTTGTTCCTACCTGTTTTTCTTTAATTCCGAAGAAAGCATATTAGTTACGAAAAATGTGTTTTGAAAAAGGACAAAAGAAATCAGAGAAATGTGCAGCATAACCATTTTAAAATTAAAGGATATTTGACTAACTAATGGAACAAAATGCATTCATTAAACTTTTTAAAAACTAGCACTTAAGAAAATGAAACTACACCTAATAATGATTACTGATATTTTAGTCTAAAAGAGTTATTACTTGTCCAACACAAAAGACCAAAGCTATTACAGATTTACACTACCAAAAGAAGACTGCCCAAACTAAACTTTGACTCTTTTCTTCCTTCACCTTTGAATCTGATCTGAACCAGAGTTATTAGCTGCAGAAGAACTCGAAGGCCGCCCGTTTTCCGTCCCTGATTTATCTGCAACGCCCCATCTTCTAAAAGGTTCTGGGGTTTCGAGAACTTTAACCGATCCATCAGAGAGTCCAACAGCTATTTGGTTCGGTTCTTGAGGATGAGCTGTGATTACCAGCGGCATGATTGGAGCACTGTTTGCAGAAAACAAACTACTTCAGAACAATTGTATGATCAAATATCTTTTTAACTTCATGTGGAGTTTAGCTTTTTCATAGGTTAACCTGTTTGGAGTGGGCTGCGGCATGTAGGCTGATGGGGCAATGCGACATCTGAGTCTCAAGTGTTCAGCATCAAATACTCCGATGTTTCCATCTGCAAATGATGCGTAAACCAATTGGCTGTTGCAGGAGTAAGATGCGCAGGTTATGGATGAAGATAGCGATTCTTGTGGCACCCACTGCAAAATAAGAGAAACAAGAACGATAGTAGAATGAGAAAACAACGATTAAAACAAATTGAGGATTTGGCTATGGCTTAATCAACTTTGAGCTGAATGACCGCACAAAACTGTTTGGACGGGAGAGTAGAAGCATATGTGGCCTAAACCGAAAACGCAAAAGTTACTCTTCATTGGAATAAGTGAAACAGATCATTTTTGTACCTTCTGAATGCACTCCATCTTTGAACCGTCATATATGGCTATCTGCGTCTCATGAGAAACCAGTAAATGGACCTGGTCGTTGTGAAACTGGACTCGCGTATCGCCTACTGGTGACTTTCCAGCCGGTAGTTGAATTGCTGAAGATTTCTTCTTCTCCCACATGTCAGCGCTCCAGAAGAATAGCTATAGCAAAGAGAGGTCAGTCGATTTATATATAGTCAAGGTTGGTGGAAAACCAATAGCACATTGAGAATATAAGAAGCTAAGCATACCTGAGCATCAGCACCAGAGGAAACCAGAATATTGAGTGTGGCGGAGAATGCTAAACCCGTGATGTGCTTTTGGTGGCCTTTCAACTTTGTTTTCACCTGTAGATTGAAAGAGAAATTCTATTACAAATACTCCAAACTTAAAAGAAGAATTTAGAGTGCAAAATATATATTATAGCAACAATCCGTTCAACACAACCTATACAGAGAAAAATAAACCAAAAGTTCAAAACGGATATGTCGTCTTCACGAAAATCAGTAAATCATGATATCAAATATATTAATTACCTCATCTACCCTGACGTTGTAAATGTGAATAGTTGAGTCCTCCATCCCAATAGCAATAATGTTATTGTCTTGAGGATGAAATGCCAGGAACGTTGAAGCAGGAGGAGCTGGCATGAAAGTGGTCATTACCTGGAAACAAAGTGAAAATGCCAGTCAGGTCACACATTCAAATATGATCGGTTCCTGCTATTGCAGAAGAATTTGTTTAAAATATGCTTCCCATTACTTGCCAAGAATACGAAAGTTATAGTTATGTGGCATCAAGCGGTTAAGACGTAATTGTCTGAGCAAAGGAAGAAAAAAAAAACATAGATAAGTTACTTACCTTGAATGTCATCATATTAAACAAAGAGACCTTTCCACCACAAGCAGACATGACGTACGAGTCATTCTTTGACAGAGCTATGCACGGAACAGTTCCCTCGGGACTCTCCGGAACATCATTTGTCATTAAGAGGCCACTGTTAGGTTGCCAATGCTGCGGAGTGACACTAGCCGTAGCCTTGAAGAAAAAAAAAACATTATCAGCAACTTGGATCGAAGAACATAGAAGTGATCCGAGCACACGATTTTTTTATCCATACATACATGTAATTTATACAGCATATATCAAACTATCCAAGGGATGGATGTTAAAGTTTGAATTACCTTTCCAGTTGGATTTTGCTCGCTGCGGCTCCACTTCCATAGTCGCTGGACACCATTAGTTCCAAGAGCCAAAATGCCAACACCCGAATTTGTATAAAGAAGTCGAGCAACCTTATAAATGAAAGTGGCAAAGCCCATTATTGTTATAAACAAACAGGATAAGTGATGGAAGTCCCCAGCTGACTATATTTATTTAGGAAATAAATAACAAACCTTGCTAACAGAATCCTTGCTATCTGGCATGGTCACTTGTCGGCAATGAGCGGGATCAACAACTTCCATGAGCTCTAAAGGTTTGGATTTCTCAACAGACTCCAAGTTTCTTGGCTTTTCCATAGTTCTTGACATTGCATCAACTCCATTCTGTACACATAATAACACAAAAGTTGGAGGACAACGCCACAATTTGTACTCACAGAAACTTATGAACTATACAAAACAAGAAACAGTTTTCAGTTTGACCACAGTTATACTTTCCTAGATCAATCAGTTAGGTAGCTGTTCTAATAACATGTATATCTTATCAAAAATATATGAATTTGAATGATGTAACTACAGATCAGGTTGAGCTGTAAAGCCACAACAACCCAAGCACGGCACTACCTGTCACCTATATTCATCTATTGCTGAAATATGAGAAATACAGCAAAAACGAAAGATAGTAAAACATACAGGAATCGGGGTTGGCCTTGCAGGAGAGCCAATATCCATTTGTTCCATTTTACCAATCGCTGGGCCAATGTTTGAAACCATTCCAGATGTGGATACCTGATTACCCAACATTGGCGTAAGAAATTATAAAAAGAAGAAAAAAATTCAAGAAAAGCGCATAAGGAATAATTATAACCTTCATCTCTGTTGATGCTCTGGATGCTTCGAAAGAACGAGCTTCCATGACCCTTAAGGTTCTAAGACCATCCACATTAGCAAGGATCTTGAATCCGTTATCAGCTGTAGTAACAGCAAGAAGGTTCCCTTCCTTATTGAATCTCACGCGGGGAAGGTTCTGTATAGGCAGGGCATAGCACAGTAAGGAACCATCAAACATGAAACCACAAAAAAGGAATAAAAGAAAATAAAATATACAAGGAGCCAAGAGCAATAGCTTTAATTTTCATACCGGGAGCCCTCCATCAGCCTCGATAGTGGTTAAAAGATTAGTATTGTCCATATCCCAAAATTTTACTTGGTTATCTTCACCAACAGCCAAGAATCGGTTGCGTGTTGTATCAAACTGAACCACCCCTGCAGATTTCTTTCTAAAGCCCAAATACGTCCTCTTTATGGCACCTTCACTCTCATTCCATTCAACTAGAAAAGAATCTCCGTCTTTACTTGTTCCACAAGAAAATAATCTGAAACAATGACAAACATTAACATACACTATGGCCTCAACTTGCAGCAGATAGCCTGTAAATTCTTGATTAATTCGATAAGTAAATAAATTCTTATAAAAAACCTTCCATCCAGTGAAAGTACCGCAAGTTGGTTATTTTTTTCATATAATTAGCTTTCTTATATGAGCTGTGTCAGTATAGCTTAGGATACAGAGTCTTTTCGATAGTTTTCAAAACTAGACTATGAATCAAGGGTTTTATGAAGATATATACAATGTTCACTTCAATTTGTAGCTCTTCAAGTAAGAAGAAAGTACCTGCTACCATCAGCACTGTATAGCATCGTTGTACACCACTGTCCTGGCGCATCATAATCAACTCTAGATCCCACATTATCATACAGCCAAGCTTTGATCTTACCGTCAAGAGCGGTTGAGAATATAAACTGTGAAAGTAAAGAAAAATATTTAATACAAGAGGAAAAGGAAAAAAGTTTCACTCATAATTTAACCCCCACAGAGAATACACTCCAGAAGTAGATAGTCTCGGTCCAATGTATCCAAAATAGAAGGGGATTGCTTTAACTACTGAAGAAATAAATCTTTCATCTA